CTGTATTTAATGGGACTTGAGTATCCACAGATTTTGGTATCCCTAGGGTGGGAGGCTTCCTGGGCCCACATCCCAGTGAATAGCAAGGGCCCACTGTATAAGTTTCCTATGTTTGCCTTGAAAAAGCAAAAACTAACATTTAGAAATGAGGACCTCTCTCTCTCTCTCTCTCTCTCTGTGCCTTCAAGTCATCTGTCAACCTATGTCAACCCCATGAATTTAATAGGATTTTTTTAATGCAAAGAATACTCAGAAGTGGTTTTGCCAGTTCTTTCCTCTGAAATATAACCTACAGTATCTGGTATTTATTCTTTGTCTCCCATCCAAGTTCTAACTAGGCTGACCAAGATCAGGCAGGATCTGGTGCTTTAGGGTATAATAACCCTTTAAATTTTGGGAATGATGCATCATTTTCAACATTGAAAGTGTTCAAAACACTAGTTCAGTGAGACTGATTGCAGCCCCTTGCCTTTGTGGGTGAGGGTTTATTCTCTGAGAACTAATCCTATATTCATATATAGCCATTTGTAAGGGATTTTAAAATAAATTCTTAAGGATTAGATGGCGTATTTACTGTAATATTAGCACATGATAAGGACATGTTTTATTGCTGATCATCATGGTAAAGCAAATTCAGTCTTAATACCACAGGATTACTTACTAGACCAAGTCCTGTTTTTATATTATGTGTACCGCAGTTCTTAAATAAGCATTTTTCTAGTAATACTATGTAGGTTGTCAGACTCAGAATCTGCTTCAGTACTGTAGCCCACCTGGGGCACAGCCCCAAGCTTCACCATGGGATTCACTCTGACAACCATCATTGTGGTTATTTAGGATTGAATTGAGGCTAATATGTGGTGAAGCAAACTCAAGCCAAGGTTAAGGAACATTTAGAAAGCACATTGTTAAGCTATAGAATTTGCTTGTTTCATTGATGGGCAATAACTTGGGTGACTTTTAAGGGAATTAGACAAATTTGCAAGAATGAAGCTGTCAATAGATTATTTAACTAGTTACAAAGGTTATTATGCCATCTTCTGGATCTGTGGTGGCATACCTGTCAGTCCCAGCTGCTAGGGAACAGTGGGAGAGAGCTGTGGTCTTCATGTCCTGGTTACGGACTTGTTAAAGGGCATTTTGGCAGCCACCATGGAAAATAGAATGCTTGATCAGATGGGCCATTAGTCCTTTATATGAAGGCTTTGGTAGTAATGGTAATGAATTGTAACAAAGAGAATTATACGTTTGGTTGGACTTAGGACTTTATCACACTAGCCTGGTGTCCCACCACAATTGGGTTAGCTTAAGAATGGAAACGTACCAGTTTGATGTAATTTCTTATCACACTTCCCCCCATAACAGCGCTTTGGCAATCCATGATTGTATGCTCTGTTTTCTGCTCTGCCAAATGGGAGGAAGAAGGGGATGACCGATCCTAGCTGTCAACTGCCTCCTGAAGCACACAACAATTGGCTTCTCGAGGAAGTGAGGGGAGACAAGTGATCCTGGCTGTAACCACCTCCTGAAACTGGCTGCTGTGGGAACATGCACACAGTAGCTGGTTCCGGGAAGCTGTTAGTGGCTATGATTGCTGTTAGAGGAAGAGGGGGAGAGGAACAGAATCACTCCCACTTACACAACATAACTGTCTGAGAAGTGGAACAGCAGTGGAAGGGACCTAATGCACAAAGGCAGTAATGGAGTAACAGTGAGATTGAGAGTTTATTCATATTTTTTGCCTGTCAGTGAAAAGTACACTGCAATAACAAATGGAATGCAAGAGAACAGCAGAATGGACAGGACATCATGTAATAACTACTGGACAAAGATACTTTTATCCTCTTAAAATTCCACTTTATAGACTCATGTGATAAAATCCTGAGTCATATTTAGAGATGACTCAGTAGAGTGGGATAAATCCACTGAAATTGATGGGATATAAAAGATCGATGAGTTAGTTAAGATCATTAATTTCTGTGGGCCTCTTCCCAACATACAACTAAGTCTAAATCCAGCTCAATACAATCTGGGATGAATAGACTGCCTCTTTGTCTCAGTAATTTGTTGTTTTTTGTTGTGTGCCTTTAAGTCATTCCTGACTTACAGCGACTCTAAGGCCTATTATGGGGTTTTCTTGGCAAGATTTGTTCAGTGAAGGTTTGCCTTTGCCTTCCCCTTAGGCTGAGAGCATGTGACTTGCCCTAGGTCACCTAGTGAGTTTTATGGCTGAATCAAACCCTGGTCTCCAGAGTCATAGACCAAGACTCAAAGCACTATGCCAATCCAGAAATCCAAATTCTGTGGAGGAATTCAGATGGGGATTTGGGAGACATCTACATACAATAAATATATACACCTAGTATCTGAGCATTTGTTTCCTCACTCACATTACGACTGAAGCTGGCTTCTCCTCCCCCTACAGCATATTTTGTATTTTTATATAAAATATTTGTATAAAAGGTTTGTGTGTGGGTATGTGTAATATATTTTATGTAAAGCCTTGTATGTTTTTATACAAAATTTTTAAATTGGATGTGCAAATTGGTGATCAACATCGTTTCTTTGGAGTACTGTAAACAGACATATTACATCATCAATATATATTATTTTAATTATTATTTTAATATTAAAACCATTTCAATATTTATTTAAAATATTATTTTTATTTAAAATGTGCAGTTGATTATACTGTACCTCATGCCATTGTAGAGATGGACAAATCTGTCCCCAACGGTTAACAGCTTAAGTATCTCCCATTTGGAGTACTACAACACACTCTCAGCAGGGATGCCCATGAAGAGTGTGTGGAAACTATGGCTATTGCAAAGTGTGGTGGCCAGACTGTTGTTAGGCATGTGCTTTAGAAACCACATATCAACAGTCTTACATTGGTTGCACTGGCTTCCTATTTGTGTTTGAATTTAATTCAAGGTATTTGAATCTGTAAAGCCCTAAAGAGTCTGAAGCCATAATATCTGAAAGACCACCTCCTCTCACATGAACCTGCTCCAAATTTGAGATCTTCAGTAGAGACCCTTTTGCATGGTGCGAACCCATCACAGGGCTTTTTCTGTTGTTGTTGCTGCTGTATGCCCTGTAGTTATTTCTGACTTATGGCGACACTAAGACGAATTTATCACATGGTTTTCTTGGCAAAATTTATTCGGAAAGGGTTATCTTTGCCTTCCTCCAAGGCTGAGAGAGTGACTTGCCCAAGGTCACTCAGTAGGCTTCCATGGCTGAGTGGGGATTCAAACCCGGGTCTCTAGAGTCATAGTCCAATGTTCAAACCACTACACCATGCTGGCTATTTGATTTATTTGTACCAGCACCTATGCAGTTTTCCAGCTCTCTCTCAAGGGAAGGCAAGGGGGTGCCATCCCTCTTGAGATTCTAGTAGGCAACCAAGGCTGTACTGTTGGCTATGGCCTTCAATCCTTATAATGAGAAGTGTTTTATTAGTTATTTTAATTGTGCACGACCTTTTTAAAAACAAAAGCAAACAAACCCTATTTTCAAGGAAATATTTGTAGACTCTTCCAAAATAATGGCTGGCATTCAGTATTGCAGTTACTGATTTGTAGTCTCAAGTTAGGGATCTTCACCTCCTCTGTATTCAGTAAGACTATAGACTTAGTGTAAGGTTATGTAAATGCCACTCCAGCCTGTCATAAGAACCAGTATACAGAATGGGTGAAGAGGGTCATTCAGCTTCCAAATGAGGCACAAGGAGGATGACCTCACTGCCTTCCTTCCACCCATTTCACTTCCAGTTGGGATGCAAGGAGGATGACATTTCCATCTCCCTACTTCCAGCAAGAGAGCCTGTGACAACTAGAAGGAGGACTCCTGTTTCAAATCCTTGCTGCAGCTACACTCACTGGTGGGACCAGGATTGTAAATGTCATCATCTTTGTGCCCTGATCACCAGCAGAATAGGCCTCCTTTGCCTGATACAGCTGCTGGCTCTGAAGATGGGCTGGGAGGGTTAAGGACAAGAGATTTTACTTTGGTTATATCCAATCCTACAAGGTGCTTCTATCCTTACCTCTATCCAGGTCCTAACTGAACACATCATATTCCCTAGGTTTTGAAGTGAAAGCACTTCTTTTAGATGCCCAAGGGCTTTAATGCGATTTGGGGCGGGGCAGGGGGACACACCACAGTTTCTAGGAAAAATGTTTTTCTTTTCTTTTTTTTGCAATGTATATCCTGCATCCCAAATCAGGATTAGGATGAAATTGGGGGGGGGGGTTGATTGGAGGACAGGACAGGTTGGCAGGTGGTTACCTTGGCATTTTCATCTGCAAGTGTGGGTGTCACCATTTTTTTTTTGCACTCAGAGTATGTGTCAGAATCTATAGCAGAGTCTGCCATAATGTATCATAACATGTATGGATAGGTGGTGGTGGTCTGGTTGCTGGGGATGATGGGAATGCAGTGGTTTCACAGGGCTGGGGCAGTGTACCATCACAGGTTAAATTGCTTGGTAGAAGCCTGCTACTCAAGATAGCTTGTGGAATGTGGAGGAGGATTTTTACTTAGTAGCTTGAGAAAGGCATGCAAGTAGACAGGAGGGAGATAGTAGAAACCATTAGGCTAGCTGTGGGAATAAAGTTTGTGTGCCAAATAACAGGGGTGGAGTTAATACACTTTGTGCTTTTATTATATTGTAGTGGGTGGGTCCTGTTAGATTTGACCAAGACACATTACGGATGGCTTCTGTTTCTGATGACTGCAATAAAAATCTTTTGTTTTCACTTCACTAAGACTGATTGATTGTGCATTTGAATAAGAGTTCATTGATTCTGACAGTATATATGTAGCAAACCACATATATGCAGTTGGCCATCCATTTTTGCAGGGGATCCGTTCTGGACGAAAACAGAGGACCTTATCACACGCTGCTCTCAAAAGTGGCAAGAAAGCGATATGAGCATCATTCCAGTACTATAGCGCTAGTATAAATATGGCGCTAGCGCTATAATAGCGCTATGGATCAGCTCGCGCTATTGCAATGCCCGCTGAAACCGACATTCAAAAGAATGCGAATGATGCTACATTCCGAGTGGTTTCTCGCTGGATTCCGAGCGACGTCGTGTAATTGCACGGAAAAATATAGTGCTATAGCGCCTGATTCTTAGCGGATTCTGAGCGACGTCGTGAGATCACGCGGGAAAATATAGCGCTATAGCGCCTGATTGCTGCTTTTGGCCCCGTGTGATAAGGTCCATAGACTCACCAATATTCAAGCCCCATAGGCTTGAATGGGGTATGCGCCTGCTGGTGCATGTCCCATTACAATTAAAAGAGATCACCCCTCCATGAATATTGAGTCCGTGGATCTCAAGTCTGCGAGAATGGAGGGGTGACTGTATATCCAATGGTCTGAAATTCTCTGCTTGCTGGTGTGTGTGTTGCATTTAATTAAACTCAAATGGAATTTAATCTGAGTTTTTAATAAAGGTGTCTTGGGAGATTATCGCACAAGCATAAAATCCCGGTTTACCTTTCCTGAATTCAAGTCTAATTCAGGCTGGAGCCAGGTGCTATCACATGGCTTTCTCCCAAAAAAACCTGCCATCTGAGTACAGCCAGGCTCCAATATGGGTCACTTAACTTGTTTCGCAGCCATTTTTCAAAAGTCAGAAGCTTCAGACTTTTGGAAAATGGCCATGAAGCGAGTTCAGTGAGACACATTGGGGCCTGGCTGTGCTCAGATGGAGTTTTTTTTTTTTTT